CAAAGAGCCTGTTTGCCTCCAAAATCCAGAGTCATATTGTTTCCCTCAAAATGTAATGTTTTATTTTTAATACTGATAAAAAATGAAAGTTCATATATTTATAATTTTATTTCAAAAGTAACCATTGGTAGGCTAAAATAAACCATTTGGTAGGTGTAACTTCCAAATCAATAGGGGGAAAGTAAGTATAACAAAAAAACTTAGGTTAAAAAAAAACAAACCCCCAAAAAGCCTAGAAATAGGAGGCCTAATAGAAATGGGCAAAGAGCATGAGCAAACAGCTAACAAAAGAAATAAATATACACAATCTTATGATATGATAGTACATGAAAACATAAAAGTCTAAAGATATGAAAGAAAATTAATTTAGTGAAACGGACATGCTCATATGCTATTAGTTGGAGTATAGAATTATCCTAACCTTTTCTGAGGTCTTTTGGGCAGTATCTATTAAATAGTAGAATGTTCCAGTACTTTGATCAGTTCCCAGGGCTTACATTTTTTCATTATAGAAATATTCACGTACACACAAAAGAAATAGAATAACATAATGGACCACAACACACCTATCAAGAAAAGAAAGTTCAAAACTATAGACAATTTTAATAAGAGTTTATTAGAGTTTACTATTTGAGCCAAACTGAGGATATTCCCAGAAGCAATATCTCAACAGATTGGGGAAAAAAAAGCTCTGGAGAATAGCAGTTTTGCAGTTTATCTGATATATTACGTCAGGAATGTGCAAGGAAGGTACATGAAACCCACTGATGGTAGATTAAAGAGCAGGGAGAAAGCAAAGTGGTCACATCTCCAGGACCAGATAAAGAGCAAAATAGAGAGATACATGCTTTTACGTTGCTGGGCACAGAATAGTTAACATTTACAGCGCACAGAGTTAATCATTAACATTTACAGTGCATAGAGATAGTTAACATTTAACATTTACAGTATATGGGGAGTTCTGGTACATGTGCTCCTGTGAGGGTGGTTAGGCCTTGAGGGGTTTGGAAAAGAAAATTACTTTGGCATTTCAAAGGTATGTTATCCTAGATTTATAAGAACAATGAACGGGGCTCCTTTACGGTAAAGATTAACCTTTTATTAAGAAAGTTATAGGCCTGGGGTGCGACTACCACCGTGACTGCTCAGTTAGAAATCTGTGATCAGATCATCCCATGTTGTTACTTCTGTGGCCTTTGAGTTTGTCGGGTTTCCTACATAGCTACGCACAATCTAGATTTCAATAATTCAGTAATTATCAAGGTTTTATCACCATTGCTTTATCTCTCCCTGTGTTCTTCCCCTCCCCCCTTCTTTGTTTCCATCTTCTTCTTTGTTACTTAAGTACCCTAACGCATAACCTTGACTTCATATCACTTTACTTTGTCTAAAAAAATTAATCATTTTCTTGCATAACCATATCCCATTATTTCACCTAAAAGTTAATCTTAAATCTTTGACATAACCTAATAGCCAATCGATATTGAAATTTCCTCAATTATCTAAAAAATGTGGGGGTTTTTACTTTGGTTTGTTAGAATCAGAAGCCAAACATAATGTTAATTGAGTTGTCACGTCTTTTTAATATAAAGCAGTTCCTCCCACCTTTTTTTTAATGCACTGGCTCAAAGGATCTAATCAATGTTCTGCAGGAGTCTCATATTCTGGATTCCTCCACTTTACACCCAGGCCAGGGTTCAAACCCAAAACCTGGGTATGTGCTCTGACTGGGAATCAAATCCTTGACCTTTTGGTGTACAGGACAGTGCTCCGACCAACTGAGCCACACCAGCCAGCATGGGCTGGATTTTTCCACTTTCTTAATTTATTATTCAATGTAATTTGTCTTTTTAGTATTGGGTTGTAAATATGGTTATTTTTTTTAATTTGCTAGTTAGAAATCATTTCAGATTTTTAAATAGATGCAAAAAGAGTGTTAAGAACGCCTACACACCTGTAACCCAGATTTCCTCGATGTTGACATTTTACCACACTTGCTTTATTCATTCTATTTTTGTTCTGAAACATTTGAGAGTAAGTTGCAGATAACATTCCCTTTACCTCTAAACACTTCAGTGTATTTCCAAAAACAAGGACATTCTCTTATCTAACAACAGTTGAAGGGTCAAAATCAGGAAATGATACAAGGCCAGAAACTAATCTACAGATCTTATTCAAATTCACCTATTTTTCTTCTAATGTCCTTTATTAGATTTAGGCTTTTAAATCTATTTTAATATACTTTTTACCTTTCAGGGATTTGTGCCTTTTTAAAACAATGTCACTGCCAATAGCTATTACAGTAGTCCCCAAACTTGTTTGCACATCACAAACAAGAATCACCTGGAGATCATTTAAAAATTCCTAGAGAAAAGTCTTATGAAAACAAAGCTGAAGACATCCCAATTCCTGAACTCAGACTATATTACAAAGCTATAGTAATTAAAATAGTATGGTATTGGCATAAAACAGACACATAGATCAATGGAACAGAATAGAGATCCCAGAAATAAACCCATGCATATATGGTCAATTAACTTATGACAAAGGAGTCAAGAATACACAGTGGAGAAAAGACAGTCTCTTCAATCACTGGTGTTGAGAAAATTTGACAGCCACATGCAAAAGGATGAAACTGGACCATTATGTTACACTATACACAAAAATTAACCTAAAATGGATTTAAGAGTTGAACTCAAGACTGGAAACCATAAAACTCCTAGAAGAAAACATCAGCAGTGAGCTCCTTGACATAGGTCCTGGTCATGATTTTGTGAATCTGACTCCCAAAACAAAAGCAAAAATAAACAAGTGGGACTACATCAAACTAAAAGCTTCTGTACAGTAAAGGAAACCATCCACAAAATGAAAAGGCAGCCCCCAGGGTGTGGCACAGCGGTTGAGGGCCCACGATCCAGCAGATGGCAGTTAGATTCCCCATCAGGGGACAAGCGGAGGTTGTGGGCTCCGTTCCCAGTAGGGGGCGTGCAGGAGGCAGCTGGTCAATGTCTCTCATTATCGATGTTTCTCTCTCTCCCTCTCCCTTCCTCTCTCTGAAATCAACAGATATATTAAAAAAAAGAAAAAGAAAAGAAAAGAAAGCTTTCCTTAAAAAGGAAAAACAGAAAAGGCAACCTACTGAATGGGAGAAAATATTTGCAAATCATATATCTGACAAGGGGTTAATATTCAAAATATATAAAGACATCATACAACTCAACAGCAAAAACAACAACAAACACAAAATAACCCGATTAAAAAATGGGCAGAAGATATGAGGTACAAGATGGAAATGTGGGTTTTCTGAATGTGGACCGGGCTTAGGTGACCATCTCTGTAAACCTGAAGCTGGGGATAGACACAATTGCCCACTAGGAAGGGTGCAACATGAGTGGGTGCAGAATCCCGGGGTACACAGGCCTTCAGGGATCGGAGGAGTCAGAAATCTGGCGCCAGCACCCAGTTGCTGAGAGCCTGGAAAGGAAGGAGAGGTTTTTACATCACTTGGAGGAGCGACGGTGGTTCTCCGGGAGGTAGCTCCTGTAACTCACAGGGCGGTGAGCTCCCCAAGTCCAGTAGGGACCCCAACCCTAATCTGGCGTGGGCTTCATTCAGGGCTTTTGCTAAAAAAGGATGTTAGCCGCGGAGCACGGCGGCCTGACCACGAGGAAGTCCCTTGGGCCAGGGGGCTGGGTCTGCACTCGGGAGGAGAAGGCGTCGCGGGGGGAGCTGACCGCGCCGCAGGCCCAGCCCCGCGCTGGGCGAGGATTTCCCGTGGGGGGCGCGCCCCCCCCCTTTCGGTTCAGCCGGGTCGCTGCGTGGACTCTTCCGGAGCAGATGCTTCCACCTCGGCCACCAGCGGCCGAGGAAACCA